CAAAAAGGATCTAGTTTGTTGTTGACCAAATTACTTTATAATCTAAAGTAGGCGCCAATGTGTTGGTATAAGCGATTTGATTCCTTCATTGTGAGCTTCGGCTTTAGCAAATGTGAAGCAGATCATTGTGTCCGCACATATTTTGGTACTGATCACTTCATCATTTTATTGTTATTTGATGACATGCTAGTTGCAGGTACTGATAAAGGAAATATCACAACACTAATCATTTAGTTAGGGAGTTTGCCATGAAGGATATGGGGGTGGTTAATCGGATTCTTAGGATGATGGTATATAGGGGCAAAAAGAACATGAAAGTCTGGATACCTTAGAAAAGTTATGTTAGCTACACAAGCATGCAAAGAAAGTATTTGGCTAAAGAGGTTGCTTGAAGAATTCTACATTAAGCAAGAAGTGGTGACTATTCATAGTGATAGTCAAAGAGCATTACACTTAGCATGAAGTAGTTGAGGATGAGTAGATCACATTACAAAAGATTCACCCCAACGATAATGTTGCTGATATACTAACAAAGCCTATGATGAGAGAGAAGTTTATTTGGTGTAGAACTTCTCTAGGACTTAAAGCCACTTAACAAAAGATGATTGGCAGCTATTCTTGATAGTGTTTTTCACTATGAAAATAGTCTTCAAGTGGGAGAATGTTAGAATAGATTTAGTGGGATAGTAAAACTCACCCACTAAGCCCACCATTTTAGAAACGATGGCTCACCGACTTTGGAGCCCACCTCTTTCTTTAAATTGGCAATGAAGACTATTTTCACTGTCTAAGTATGTGGTTGTAATTTTTCCTTAAAATTCCCTTTATACTCCTCTTTACAAGTATAAATAGGGGCTCCCTCCATTTATTTCATCCATTTTTCATTTCATTGTATACATTAGTACAATGTGTTGAGAGGAGTGTGGTGTTGGGGGTATTGGATGACAGGTATGAGTGAGGACTGAGGAGATTATTGTAGTGTTGTATTTTCTCTTGTTTATAGTGAAGAAGAAAAGTTCCGAGTTTCTATCCATGGATGTAGGCAATTTAGCCAAATCACGTTAGATTTGGTGTTCTCTTTCTCTTTTTCTCTCAAATTATATTATTCGCTGCACCATCTCCATCATTTCTTCTGATCTTCCTCACCATTCTCATTTTTTTAATCATTTCCTCCCCTCTCATTATCTCTTCTCTTCTTTCCATCTTTCGAATACCTAGCTACACCCCCTGTTCCTTCGTCATCGTCACCAATTAAGCAGAATCGTTAACAACATTGACAACTCGATCGTTCCAACACTCTTTTTTTTCGAATGTAACTTATACCGGAAACCTTGCTAAATCCCTCGGTCGTAAGCACCTATCGTATTGTTATTCAAAGGAAACAACTCGATATAAACAGGGCTCTGGTTCTTTGCAGCATTGTTCATATTAAGGCCAAATTCAAATCTTGGTCAGTTCCACTCTCGGAGTTTCTCCTTCTGTTTTCTATTTTTTATTTATTTTTCCTTTCAGATTGCTATGAAATAATGGCATTTGAGTGGTTGTTGGGATCGCCGGTGAAGCCCCCTGCTGTACTGGCTTCTACCCGCCCAAATCTCTGATTATTCTCTTATCAAATCTTAATGCGTTATTGATAAGAGAAAAGAATTAATAAGAATAACTTCCCCTAAAGTTTCTAACAATCATAAAAACATCCCCTATAGTTTCATTTTATTAAAAACCTTCCCTCTATTTTTTGGAAAAATCGACAAATACCTCCCTTTTGTCAATGACCAAAACGGAAAATATTAAACCGATGATCATTTTTTCTTTCAAAATACCTATCTTCCTTTTTACGAATTAATGTACATCTATTTTTACTAAAATACCCCTATCTATATATTTTACCATTTGGCCTCTTTTGTTATCCCAATTTCATCTTTTTTTGTTTGAAGAGGAGCAACTCAAGAGGAATGAACCAAGAAGGACGAATACACAAGGGTTTTATGAGTATCTCAATAGTATTCTCTATTTTCATTTTAACACACAAGGGTTTTACCAATATTTTACCATATCTCAATAATATTCTCTATTTTCATTTTAACTAATTAGAAGAGAAATATTATTCACTGTCCTCAATGTCCCAAAGCACCAAAGCGGTGGAACATACTCCGATCTCCACTACTAGTCTCTCTCTTTCTCATTCTTCTTCGTCTTCTTCTTCTTCTATTTTTTCTGCCCAAGTCACTGTTCTTCGTCTTCCTCCTTACTATGTGAACATAGCGGTGATGACTAAAACTTTCTTTCTCAGTAGACCCCTCTCATTCCTCTCACCCTCTCTCTATTCTCCATTCTTTTCTCTCCATTTCTCCCTCGTCTTTTTTTTTTTTCAATGTTGGCCCACTATTCATCATCGACATCGACATCGACGAGAATAGGGGAGTTACAGTGGTTGTTCTCCCCTAAACCTCACCTAAATCTAACAAAGATCCAGCAGTTTCTTGTTCCATTTTCTTTCCTCATCTTTTTTCCTCATTCGCATGTCGATTTGCCTTTACCCCTTGGATCCTTGGCCAATTCCCTCATGTCCTATAAACTTCATCGTTTGAATTGAGCAAATTGCTATAGCGGTGATAAAAAATCCCTTCGTTGATTAAAGTAGCTCATAGTTGGGAGTATTTTATTTTAACGATCGTCAGACCACACTCCTTCAAATGTTGCTACTTACATACAATTGACCTAAAGACGAAGCGAATCACCCCTCTTCGACTACTAATAATCCAAATTTGTTGATGTGAGATTGATTTGTGTATGAAATTCAATTTAAATAGTTTATTTGGCTTTCCCATTGATATGAAATATTCTGAATTTGGTTTTACCAGTAATATCGCCAGAAAAATGGACAAAATATTCTAAGTAGAATATGTCGAGTAATATCGTCGTTGCAACTATTAGGGTTTGCGTTGTTCTATGAAAGAGAATATGAATTATAGGAAGCTGCTCGATTAAAGGAAAAATGGTATTTTGCAAATTGATCAGATGACATCTAAGGGTAAAAATGTAATTATACATGTTTTCCATCTTGGTCATTGACGGAAGGGTGGTATTTGTTGATTTTTAAAAAATATAGGGGAGAATTTTATGATTATTAAAAACTTAAAGGGAGATTTTTGTATCTTACCCTTTATTTTATTATTAGGCATCAGGAACACCAGGTCAGAGAAGACCGTCAATGTTAGGCACTTGGGCTCCCAGTTACAAGAGCCTATTTCATTACAAAAGAAAATAATAATAAAAATAAATAAATACATAAAAATAATGATAAAAATGAAATAAATACAAATGAGAATATAAAATAAGAGGGAAAATTGGTGATAAAGAAGGGTATGGGAGTGGAAATGATCTCCCTGAATGCGAACCAGATGAAGGGAAGGGTGAGCTATCAAATTGGAACGGTGATAAAAATAATAAAAAAGAAGGGTAAATTGCGGATTAGCACCCTGTACTTTGGGCTTAGTCTAACTTTGGAAACCGAATTTCAAAGCATGTCAATCTAGTACCTAAACTCTCAAAATGTCTTAGTTTACTCCAAAATCTTTAAACACTGTTAAGTGGCATGTGAAAGGATGCAAATGCCCTTCAGATGTCATATTTTTCTTTAATAACCATCCAAATGTCCTATGGGTTGTTCACCATTGCTTTGGTTCAATATTCTTGATTATTTTAGAAGAAGATTATGAATAATGTCTTATTTTGAAGGGTAATTTTGATATTTTAAGTTACACAAGTCATCATGTGATATAGATAATTGACGGACTGCTAATGATAGGGACTAAACTATGACGTTTTGGAAGTATTGACACGTTTTGAAGTTTGGGTACCAAAGTGAGATTAGGCCTAAAGTGTAGGGTATTACTCTACAATTTACCCGGAAAAGTAATATATACATATATAAAAAAATAAAAGGGGGTGAGAAGTAGATCAAATAATAATAATAATAAGTAGTGATAGATTTGCAAGATAAAATATGATAAATAAAGGATAATTCAGTGAACAATTGATAAATAAGTGCATAAAGAGAATTCCATAAGAAAATGCCAATAAAATAAATAAAAATTCTAATGAAAGAATATGCAAAAAAAGAGAGAAAGTAAAAAAGTAAAAAAATAATAATAACGATAAAACAAAAAATATAAATATAATAAGAGTATAATAAAAAATATAAGATAAAGGAGAAATAACAAAAATAAAAAACAAATAAAAAGATGAAAATTGATGGTAAGAAAATAATAATAAAAGATGATAAATAAAATAAAGAAAATAAAGGTAGGGTGTGGATTTCTTATGCTGATTTGTTCTTAGCTTAATTTGCTCTCTCTCTCTCTCTTATTATTATGTTCTTAATTAGTTAAAGAATTGGATATTTGTGTTTAAGTTTGTTTAGAATGTCATGTGAGCCCTACTTATTGGATCTGGAAAGAAGGGTGCCTAATCCCTTTCCTTGTTCATCCGAGTCTTATCTAGATTGGTTCAGCCAGTGTCTTGGGTTTGGAGTAATATAGATCTCAGAGCTCTTATTACCTCCATTTCACATAACTGATGGATCAGTTAACGACTCCAAATCAGCCTAGCTGAACCATTTTCCGATGCTCACAATGAGTTAATATGATAAGTAATAATGAGTTATCATTTAGATTTTAGAAATCCATACATTTATATGTCTCGATGTGAATGGTTCTTTCTTCATTCCAAACAAGTTTTAGACAACTGGGGTCTTTCCGACATCATAGAACCCAGAAAGAAAACAGACTATCTGTTATATTTCACCGCAAGAAACGAATTAACAAATTAATCCTATTCTTTCTGCTGTATTTCCTCCTATTCCATCTCCATCTCTTAACCCCCTCCGTTCTGTTAATACCGATGACGTCTGAATAACAAGTTAAAGTTTTTTGCTCTTAGTTTGAAAGATGACTGTATATCGATTCTTGCCCTTCTATATCTTAATTTCGATCTGTTGGTACAATTTTAATTTGAACAGTATCTTCAACTGAAGGTGCAGATTGAAAGAAAAAAAAAAAAAAACAAACAAACAAACAAAGGAGATAACATACAAAGGCAAATGTCATCAGCAACACAGCAAAGCAAAGAAATCAGTCTCCTTAAAACCTTTATTAATGGCATAAATGCCTTGTCAGGTTTCTTCATCTTCTCCATACCTTTTTAAATGCTTCTCCACTTTATGTCTCAATTGTTCTTCCTAGATTAAGAACATCATAATTTAAAATTTCTGATTTTTTTTTTCTCAGGCATCGGTATAATATCAACCCCATATGCACTCTCAGAAGGAGGGTGGTTGAGCTTAATACTTCTTTTGTTGATCGCGGCATCAGCCTACTTCACCGGACTATTGCTCCGACGTTGCATGGATGCAGACCCACAAATAACAAGCTATCCTGATATTGCAGGAAGCGCATTTGGTCGGAAGGGAAGAATTGTTGCATCCATTTTTATATGCTTAGAGTTGTATTTTGTAGCAACAGAACTGTTGATAATGGAAGGGGATAATTTGCACAAGTTATCCCCCAACTTTGCATTGAAGTTAGGGCAACTTAGAGTTGAAGGGAAGCATTCTTTTGTTATAATTGCAGGTCTTACCATCTTGCCATCTATGTGGTTGAGTGATCTGGGTATGCTGTCTTATATCTCTGCTGGTGGAGCACTATCTTCTCTTATCATTATTATATCTGTTTTATGTGTTGGTGCAAGCACAAGTGTAGGATTTCATGGAAAAGGAAGGCTCATAAATTTACAGGGAATGCCCACTGCACTCAGCTTGTATACTTTCTGTTATGGAGCCCATGGTATATTCCCTACAATATACAATTCAATGAAAAACAAATCTCAGTTCCCAAAGGTATTGGATAACAAAGTCTTATTCTTTCATGAACTAGGTTTAATTTTCTACTTTGAACCATCAGCAGGAAGGAAAAATCAGCCTTTGAAGCAGTGTTGTCAGATTCGGATGGACTGATCTTTTGGAGTTCCCAGTTATTTGATGGGTTTTTTTCCCCCCTAAAATTAACTGTTTTTTCCTTCATTTTTCATTGCAGGTCTTATGTCTGAGCTATATTACTAGTACAATTGCATATGTCTCCATGGCCATTTTGGGCTATCTAATGTTTGGAAAGGACGTCCAGTCACAAGTAACTTTGAACCTTCCCACAGAGAATATCAGCTCAAAGATAGCTATATACACCACCTTAGTGGGTCCACTTGCAAAGTATGCACTGACTGTGATGCCAATTGTAACAGCCATTGAAAGCCGTTTGCCAGTTGAATACCAAAAGAGGAGGCCTGTTAGCCTCCTTATCAGAACTTTGTTACTCTTTAGCACGGTCGTCTTGGCTGTTGTTTTTCCATTTTTTGGGTATCTTATGGCTTTCATTGGAGCAGTTTTAATTGTTGTAGTTTCATTTTTGCTCCCCTGCACATGCTACTTGAAGATAACTGGAGCATACAGGAATTGGGGGTATGAGACTGTAGGTATTGTTGGGATAATGTCAATGGCAACTTTGGTTGGAGTAGTAGGAACATATTCATCTGTTGTTCAAACTGTGAGAACCGTTTGAGCTTCTAAACTTTTGTGCTACAAATTTCGTACAATTGTTCTATGTTTTGCTTAGATGAATTTATTCTTTTTGTAAGAAGTATTGGCCAAAATGCCTTAGAGCTCATTGTAGAAAATGCATCTTGTCCATCATGATTTTGATCAAGAAAACACATCAAATGTTTAAGTTGGTCGTGGGATATGATGCTAAAATTACTTGTATGGAATTATGAGCCAAAAACCACATTAAATATATAATGTAGTATTTAAGTAATTACTCGTTTTTTTTTTCTCTGAGTTTTAATTTTCCTACTGCTAATTCATGTTTTCTGGAGTTGGGCATTCCTAAACCAATATTGACCAATTAATTACACAGAACCACTACAGTATAAATTTCTATAGGAAGTCTATATTCATTATAAACTTTGTGAGTTTCAGTACTAGATATGCCATCAAAATATTCATTTCAAGGTGGTCTTTAGTTGGGATTCGCCTATTTATACTAGTCGGGACCAATGCAGTACTTGGATTGGACTCTGACCGGTCTGGTTAAAGTCCAACCCAAGCATTGTTTTTGGGTTATGTATTGTTAGATAATAAATTTGTATTAATTTCATTAGTTATTTTTAGATAAATTTTAATAACTTTATTAACTTTTTTGCTTATAAATGAAATTCATATTGGGGGTACGACTTGGGCGGGCCCAATTTAAGACCAGGCCAATCCAGCCTGTAATTTTGCACTGGGTGGGAAAGTTTGGGTTTTTTTTTTTCTTTTTTGTTTTTTATTTTTCCGTCTGGGCACAGGCCTAGCCCTTAGGTAGCCCAAACCCAGCCCAAGCTGACCCCACCTTGTCCTAACCCGAGCCCAACCCAAGCCCAACCTTAATGGGCTGGGCTGAATTTGGCTTGAATGAATGTATGTATTGATACATTAATAGTGAATTTTAGTATGGGCTGATTGATCAACCTGAATTTGGCTTGGGCCCCAGCCCAAGCCCAACCTGAATGCATAAAATTTTAGTGCAGGATGGGCCTGGGTTGGACAGTTCGGGGTTGACCTTGGGCTTGGGCCTTATGCCCAATTCTTAGGGTTGGGCCTGGGCTGAGCTTAAACCTGGCCCAACCCACCCAATTTGCACTCTGATTTAAACGACTAAAAACTAATTATTTAAAAGTTATAATATTCATTAATTTTTAAAATTACTTTTATTTCTAAATATTTGTTTTTGCTTGAATGAATGTATGTATTGATAGTGTAATAATAAAATTATTAACTAGTTTTATCATCTACAGTTGAGAAGATGATGATCAGGTGTAGGGGTGGATTTGAGCCGAGCCAATCGAATAGTACGGGGTTGGAGCTCGGCTCGCCAAGGTAGTACAAGGCTCGAGCTCGGTTCGAGCTAGAACTTTGAGCTTGAGCTCGGCTCGAGTCAAAAACTCGTAAGCTCGAGCTTGATTTGAGAAAAATGTTTTATAAAAATAAAAAATTATATATAAAAAATATTTTTATTTGATATTTAAAAAATTAAGAATTATAATATTTTTATTATATATATATATTTTCAAGTTCGGCTCGAAACTCGGTTGAAATTGAGCCGAGTCAAGCTTTTCACAAGCCAAGCTCGAGTAGCTCGTGAAGAGATCGGCTCGTGGCCACCCCTAGTCAAGTGGGGCCCGTGGAAGAGCCATTGGATTCAAATTTCTTTCAGTGCCTCTTTCATCAAAGGCGGGCTTAGCAATGACTCTCCTACTCTCTTAATGAATCATATATTTTAGGTATATTAGTTTCTTATAATTCTATTACTTAAATCCATGAATAATAATTTTAATAATATAAAATTTACATAGAAACAAAATTGGGATTTTAGGTGGCATTTAAATTGTTCAACCATTTGGGTCAAATAGGTCAACCAATGAGATTATAGTCAAGGTTCAAAATATTGATAAAGGCTGATACGACACCTATACTAGTGCTTTTTTGTGTTTTATTTATTTATTTTTTCAAAACCTGTTTAGAGGGGTTGGTTTAAGTCTCGACTACCCTCTGAACCATGGCCTGACCTAATACACCCCCTGTAGGGGCGTATTGGGAAGGCCTTGATACGATACATATCGGACCGTATGTATCAAAATTTTGAACCTTGATTATAGTTGAATAATCAAATTTTTTGAAAAAAAAAATGCAATGACTTGTTAAAATATACAAAAAAAAAATAGAAAATCAATACACATATATGATATTATATATTAAACAAAAATAAGTGTGATAAACAATAATTATTTTTGTTAATGATGTAAATGAAATACAAAATTTAAAATTAGTTTGAAAATGAAACCTTTTTCTAGTTTAATTTGGTGGCAAGTCGATATTTAACCTTCTCAATAAAAAGATGGAAATATAATAAGTTGTAAAAAATATAAAAACCTTTTAGAAAAATATGAATATATAATATTATATAATCATTATATTAAGAAATAAATATGATAAATAAAATTATTTTTATTAATGATGGAATAGAATACAATAATAAGAGAAAAAGAGATTTAATGTTTAACCTCGGAGTCCACTAAGTAGGTTATATGGTTCAATACTTCAATTTTTTTTTTAACCAAAAGAAGTGAGCCCTTTTCATTCAAAACAAAACCCAGAACAGGACAAAACAAGAGAATTAGGTAGGCCTACATAGATCAACCAAAGCTAGAGACCTTAACCAGTTAGGGCAATTGAAAACAAAATGACCCTGATCGTGAAGGCCCTTCTTAGCTAGAGAGTGTGCTAGGCCATTACAATTTCTTCTTGCAAAAACAAAAGGAGCATTTCAAAAGGAAGCAACTTCTAAAATGTTCCTCAACAAGAAAAGAGCTTCGGGGCTAAAATCTGAGATCTTTCTATTAGCAAAAAGAAGCAAGCTCAAACAATTTGATTCTAGGATAATTTTAGAAAGCCAACAATAGACCTTGATGCATTGCAATTTTTTCAGATAGAATAGCCAAGAAAGAAGGGTAGAGGCCAAAACAAGTTGCAGCACATTTCCCTTGCCAGTCTCTAATCACAACATCGAAGCTAGCTTTATTAAGATTAGTAAAGCCTCCATCAGAATTCACCTTGTACCACAGTCTGGAGGTTGCCAAAAAAGAGGGCCAGATTTAGAAGAATCACTTGGAGGTGAATCTCTCCACCATGGCTTCATATTCCTGGTTGATGTCTTCACTTCTCTAGCAACAGAAGACAGGAAGAAATTAGGAGAAATGTTAGCATCATCTAAAATTAGCTACCTTCTTGTTTCAACAGGTGATTGCTAGTTGAATAGAAAGCTTTATGATTTTGTCTTTAATATAACAAGATTCTAGCCAAATGAAAAATCGTTCAGTGAAGCTAGAGTGCCTATCAATTAGTTCACTAACTTTAGATGAACATCTTGGTTATGGTATAGGGCCAAAGATTCTTCTTCCTTTGAGAGAGGGGAGCCAATGGTCGTCTCAAATGGAGATTTTTGCTCCTAAATTAATAGCCCAACAACACGCATTAAGAATTATTTTTCTACCTTTTAGGATGCTTTTCCACCCCCATGATCCACTGCTTGAAAAATTATCACATAAAAAATCCCTATTTCTAATACATTTTGCTGAAATTACTTTCACCCATAGACTCTCCTCTTTAGTGGCTATCCTCCATGAAAGTTTGGCCAGCAAAGGGTTAAAAGCATGGGGTCCGGGAACCCTAGACCTCCATCTTACTTGATTTTACTAATTGTTACCAATTAAGCCAATGAATTTTTCTGTTTCCATTTGCATTTTTCCCCACAAAAAATCTCTTTGCATTGACACTATTTTATCACATAAGTATTTGAGTAGGAGAAAGCATGACATTGCATAAGTATTTTGTTCAATACTTCAATTAGTTGCATCGACAATCTTCTACAAGCAAGCGATAAATGGACCCAATTCCTAGTTGGGTAATGTTTCAACTAGTTTGATCGATTGATTTGACCACAGGATAAAAATACTAATAAAAAAACTATGTTCTAAAAATTGATTAGAACCACATTTCTCTATCAATCAAAAAAATAAACTTGTGATGTCATATATTAAATAATAAAAGTAAAAATATAGAAAACTATAAAAATAATATAGAAAAATTTGGCAAATGTCTTTAATATTATATATTTATAATATTAAACAAAAACATGCATGAAGAATGAGAATTATTGTTACTATAATGGAAATGGCTAAAATACAATGACAAAGAAAATTAATGTTTAAATAGGTCAATAGTTTAACCTGTAAGGTTACCTAGTTATTGACCAAGGCAATGGTTTCTTTTTTTTTTTTCCTTTTTCTTTTTGCAACAAAGTGGTTTGAGTTAAAAAACATTGATATAAACTACAAGCAAGAAGATTTAAAACTAAGTCTTTAGGTTGAAAGACACTAAATCCACTATGCTTCGATTACTAAGATCAAGTGGAGAATTAAGATCTAATCGACGAACATGTCATAATGGATCGAGTGAAGAAATGATTACGGTAATAGATCCAATGAATAACCAAATTGTTCAGTTAATCTCAAGTAAGGGAGGGAATTAAGGGGACATGAAGGAACATGATTTCTAGGGTTGATCATTTCTACTAGTTATTAATGATAACTTAGGGGACATGAATGAACATGATTTCTACGGTTGATCATTTCTACTTGGGTGCACTTTGATTTTGGAGAGCCTTCAAATAGATTAGTTACAAAGTTCCCTTCGGCAAAATGGAGGGCAGAGAATGATGAATTGATGATTGGATTGGGAAGTAGGTAGGTCATTTTTTTCTTTGGGGATAATTCTTGGTACAGTTTGATTGAGGAGAGGGAAGAGATGGAGGAAGACATGCCATCTAGTGATTTCATTTTAGATGACTAGTAAGTGTATACATGCTTTGCACGTGGTAATATTTGATGTCAACAATGATAGAAAATAGGGTTTGAATATGATGCAGGAAAGACATGATATCAGAATTGTTGACCAATCAACTAG